GAATTTAGTCAGAACTTATCAGTTTAAACAGCACTCTGTATGTCAACTCATTCCAGTTTATATAATTTATGAACCACTGGGACTAGGAATTATATCTTTCTTCAGCAGGGTCCCTGTGCTTTTTAATACCTAAATGCTATCATCAACCACTGATAAGAAACAGCCTCTCTTAGCACAATGAGACCCGGCACTGATTCTCCTCTGCAATTAGACATGACTTTTAAGGCCACCATTAGACATAATGCTGTCATCTTTGGCTTTGGCTGGTTTCAGTTCTAAAGAGATTTGAATATGAAATTAAGCAGGGTGTTAATGTAAGTAGAAAGAGTGTAAGCTGTCTGGAGTAATGATCTGAAATGGAGGTAATATTACAGATTTGCTGTCTCTGAAAAGTGTCTTTCATTGGAAATCAATCAACATTTATGTCATAATGGTCCCTTGATAAAATATCGACACTCAAAGATTTCCTGCCAGGAACTGGATGATTGATATTGTTCCAATCTGTTTTTTTTGGTAAATGTGAAGCGACAACAAGAAAATTGTTAGCTTATTAATCATAAATGTTGGAAGCAGCTACCCAAAGCAAAGCGTTTGTGTAGATATGAGCAACCCTAAATTTGATCCAATGAACATTTTTAGTTTTTATTATTACTGCTATTTCTTTGAAAGGTTGTGACTCGTCTTTTGTTTGAGTAAATCCAACATCTTGAGTAGTTAGCGTATTCCTTCTTATAGAGCTAACTAGCTCTACCCTTCGCTTTAAAGTTGTATCAATCTTTTTTTATCCAACTCTTGGTGATAATAACATACAAACACTTTTTTTTCAGAAGTTTCCAACCCTTTTTTGGTTTTCATATGGAGGAGAACATAGCTTGATGAGGAAAGACTGTGCAACACCACCTGTACATAACGGCTAATGGTGTTTTCACAGCTAACAGGTGACAAGGCATCAGGCTATAAGTCATCTTGAATAAAAGTTGGGGACACTTGAAGACTGGCAAAATGTGCTCAAATCAATTTAGCTAACCTCAACTGTTTAAGGCACTCCAATTACACATTAAAGCATCAACCAATCGTGCTTTTATATCACATAACCAACTATTTTTCTCTGTACTCCCTGTCTTCAAAGTGGTCTCTGTCACTCTCTTCTTCCGCGTTTGGTAACGCTGCTATGTTAACTGGGAGGCTGCCGGGTAGCTACAGTTCTGTTGCCAGCAGAAAACCAGCATTTGATCTGCTGCTTAAAGCTCCTTTGCTAAAGGTGTAATCACAACACTCCCTGGTACTTGGAGCTCCCAAACTGGATGAGTAAGGTAGACTAGCTGCTGGCTGACAGAGTTGAATGACCTAACTGGCTAACAGAGACTTAAGTTAGCATTTACATTAGAAGCAACTGGAGGCCATCCACGATAAAACCAGAAAACATTTCTCCATGAACTCTGATGTGAAGAAATAAAGACGTAACAGTGTTGTTTAAGAAACACTTTATGTCTACTAGGCTATAACACTAGCATCTGCGTTTCATGGCTTTGTAGGTCTTTGGACATTCTGCGTGCTATTTATTGAAGTTTGATATTGAGCATACATACATTTTGTCAATAGAGACTCCATTAACCACTGAGTGCCTCACCATTCACCAAATAAAAAAAAAACTCTGAATACATTTCCCTCAATCATTCAATATCTCCACTATAAGGCCAAGAGCCCTCTGGGCAGACACACAAGGTCACTAGGCATTTGTAGGTTGTCACACTAAAGATGTCAGCATTCATCAAAGTCAACATATGCAGTGGTTTCAGACTGAGATGAGGTCGTGACAGAGGCTTGACCGATAATGATGCCTATGGTCATAATGTTATCATGGTGTAAATTAAGATAATTATGTTAGCAGTATGGTGTGGTGATGGGGAGGATGTGAAACTATAAGTGGATGCAAATTGACTGTTGATGAAAGACGGATTTGGAGATGATGATGATCTTGCATTTTTATACAAATCCTTCTCTTACTGTCCCCTCCTGTCAGATTTGGAGTCAAGCTTCATCGTCAGTATTTCATGCATGTTTGCTGCCCCAGAGTGAAATTTGTGGCTTTTGATAACCGTGACCGTTTTGTCTACACAGAGTCGGTATCACCCTATTAAGACAGATTAAACAACCAATTCCTCCTCTGTGTACGTGCAGTACATCACAATGACCAGTGCTGCTGGGTCCAATCTGCAGCATATGGGGAAAGACTATAGAAATGGAGTGAGAGAGAGAGAGAGAGAGACTGTCGTGTTTAAGATGATTTAGAGAAAAAAAGGTAGAGGAGGAGAAAAGAAGAAGAGAAAAAACATAGACAGGAGATTAGAGCCAAAAGGAGAATGCAGAGGAAATTACAGCGAGAGAGAGAGAGAGAGAGAGAGGGGGACTGCTGCAGCAGTGACGTCACTGGCAGCTTGGAAAGATTTCCCCCCTTGTTATCTCTCATTTTCTCAACAAGAGGTTAGCGCTGATAAGAAAAACGATCAGCGTTACATTTTGAATATTTCAGTATAATGTATAAATGCAACTGTTTTAAGGGCTGTAATTATGTGACATGGACTCTAATGTCGCTAAAGAAAGAATTTTGTTCTCTCCATAAATAGATGCAGTATTTTGGAGAGGAAAATGCAATGCTATCAAGCTATGCCAACAGATGTTGCACACTGTGGGAAATCCAGGATAGAACGATTAATCAGTCTGCTGTCTCCTGTGTGCTGTGTCATGACTGCTGATGTATTTCAACATGTGCATACTTGCCATGTGGATGTTTTTTGTTTTAGTATCAGAGTTTTGGAACTCTATTAAAGGTTCCTTACTGGAGCAATTAAAGCAGAGAGGTTTGCCTCAAGGTAACAGCCACATAGCCTGTAGGGGATTCCAGCCGAGAATGTAAGGGAGAGATCTAGTTGTCGCTTTTGACTGACACACTTTTAAATGAGATCAACAGAGAGGAAGTTATAGGCTTCGAGGTGCATGTGACATTAGAAGGATGATTGAAACTTAGTCCAACTGTGCAGTTAGCTCTCAAGAGTGTCGCAGAACAAAATGATCAAGCCAGAACAGGGTTTGCCTGCAGGCAGAGCGGCTGTACAAGATGTAGAAATTGTAGAGATTGTAGTGCTTGTTATGTTTTTCTTCAACTTAGTGTTGTATAAATGTGCTTTCCACTGATTTTACTCATCAGAATAAGTTTCATCATAGAGGGCAGGGCTTTTGGGAATTGTTAAAACAGATGTATGTATTATTTAGCTTGTGCTTTCCAAGCTTTCAAAAGCCTGAAAAAATAACCCTGAAAAGCTTTGTTACTCAGGGCAGTATGAGCTCTACAATTCTGTACAGCATATTGGATCTTCACCATTGACTGTATAAAAGTAATGGATGGTCTTAAAGGTAATGCCTTAAGCAAATAGTTCAACAATCAGGGGCAACTTATCTTATTAGAAAAACATGGCAGATTTTATAGAACTAATTAAAGTTTACGATCTCGTTTTCTAGGTTTATGTCATCCTTAATATATCATGTTGTTGTTCATTTGGTAAATCATTGTCCCATCAAGAGTACTTATGTGGAAATCAAGCAGTGCATGCTTTAGGGCTTGGCTACTTTGGGATTGATAAATCACTACTGCAGCAACCATTGAGTTTAATTGTGTAGCAATGCATATCTGCTCTGCTGGTCCAAATATTTTCACTGACAAGATACCAAAAGCCAAAATGAAGACAATTAACCAATGTTATGCTGGCTATGTCCACTTTGAATAATATCAGGGACTGGAAGTCAGGTTATCAGAATAATGTCTTCGTTGCTTTGTTACTGTTTCATTAAATATGGCTCCAGTAAATCTTCCGAATTTCTATGATGTCAATATTAAAGACAATATTTAAAGTCTATATTGCACAAAACCCTATAAGTAGTAATGATCATCACATAATCATAATCTGAAGAAAAGATACAAGTCCTAATTCTGAAACTAATTTTTAATTTTCCACACCCGACTCTAATCATAGAGAAAGGTTAAGAAATTGAAATGTCAGTATTAATTGTGTTTTTGATTGCATTACGCTGCAATGCAATATGACGCATTCTTTAGCCATTGCAGGCACTTGAAAATATTGGAAAGAAGCATTAAATCAGCTTAATCAAGAAACATTTTATCACATCCTTTATCGTTGCTATCGATGTTAAAAATCGGACCGATGTTGTTCTTTCTGACTCAGGAGACAACCCTCACATTGAAAATACAGGGCTCTGTCAAAGTGATTTTCACCAGCATCTACTGTTATCAAATACAATCGAGAAGGATATAAATAAAACTGTGTTTTTGCCTCGAGGTTCATGATTGTTCAATGAACCATGAAATCCTGCATTGTCACATTACAGCTCAGTGGGGGAGGAAAATAAGACTCTATGCCGCCTGAATGCTGGCTTATGCCTTATCTCATTGTGCTTCTTACAGTAGCATCTGCTCTGAGATGTAAGTGACAGTGTACATCTTTTTGGCTCTTCTTTGAGACTCTAATCAACTATAACATGCCATTCCTCACATCACACATCATGTAGTGTCGTCAAGCTGTTCCTAAAGGAGTAACAGATTGGACATTAGTGCTTATTACATGATGATAATGCTTCGAAAGTCATCACCCGTTATGTGAAGTGCGCCTGTTACTTTCTCATGTAGGTTAATGTTATCAGCAGCCATATGCCATTTTATCATCCTGCCTGGGGGAAAATGTATTTAAGTAAATGAATGCTCACAAACAAATCTCCCTTTACTTCCATTCAATATACATTTCTCTCTCTCTCTTTCTCCCCCCCCCCTCTCTCTCCCTCTTGCCCTCTCTCTCTCTCTCTCTCATCCTTTCTCTCTCCATTTCTCTCTCTCACTGAGTGTGTGGCACCATATAGTGAAAAAACACTGCAGTTCCTTCAGCCAGTCAGTCAGAGCCAGTAGCCTACACACACACTGTCTCTCTCCCTGATTCAGCGCCTCACTCACTTACTACCTCTCTCTCTCTTTCTCTCTCTCTCTCTCTCTCTCTCTCTCCTTACACTCACATACACGCTGCTCTTCGCCTCCTCACTGCATCAGTCCTCTTCCTCCCTGATCTGAGGTACCATGCATCCTCCTTTCTCCTCCTCCTCCTCCCTGCCACTTGTCTGCTACTGTTCCAGGGTCTCCTTATCCAACAGAGCACTCTTGTTGCAAAGCAGTGGACCGTAAAAAAGCTGTTTGACTTGGCGGAGGACTTTTTTGAGACGGGACAAGGCTGTGTGTATCGGGTCTGAGGACAGCTGCTGGAAATGCTGATGCTGCTTCTGTCTGGATGCAGATCTTTGCGGGACTTCTACATGCTGTGTGACACTGCTTGATTCCCTGCAAAGTTTCAAGAGGGCACACATCAATCAAGCTTATCCTTTCCGCTCAGAGAACGCTGACTGCTTACTGTGTGTAAGAACATTTACATCCGTTAGGAATTAGTGTTGTGTTTTTCTTCTGTCAGTTGAAGGCAAATTACGCTGTTTAACAGAGAAGAATTGATTATCTAATTGTAAGCATTTCCTATTTTGTGAACGCAAAACCTTATATTTTAGCATGTGTGAATGTGTGTACATGATTTCCTGAGTGAGAGTGTGTGTTTGTGTGTGAAGCACAGTGTGCGTGTTGGTGAAGTGTTACTCTTCTCTCAGGATGTGTGACTAAAAGGTTTGGTTAAGTCTTGGTTAGAGGGGTAAGAATGACTTCTCTCAGATGCAGACAATTCCTTGCTTCCTGACAAAACTTCCCATTCATCCGAAAGAGAAACACATTAGAAAAAGAGGCATCAGAGAGGGACTTTGTAAAACAGAAATAGAAAAATCAGGAAGCGCACGAGGACCAAAATGAAGGTGGAAATGTAAAAGTTCACTGTGCCTTATGGAGGATGAGTTGGGCGCCATTAAACAGGACACAGAGAGAAAAATGAGATGGAAGGATTAGAAAAAGTAGGGCAGAATTGCTCTCATTCTTCATGTTGATGCCACTTGGAGATGTGTTGAGAAGGCAATAAAAACTCAGGGAAAGAAAATGAAGATGTTTCACTTTTTTATATATGTAAGTCATCTTTCTGGTTTTGCAGGACATTCAAGTGCTCCTCTCAACTGGGCAACTCATTCAGTGCCTCTTTCCCTTCATCCTTGTCCCTCCATCTTCACCTCTCTCATGTTTCCAGGTGGAGTCAAATCACTGGATCCCCGTCTCAACTCCTCACACACTGATTAGAACTGCAACTCCGCTATATCAGATCTTAACGTATAACTTCATCTTGAGATTCTTCTTCAAAAAGAGACCACCATTCCTGCCTTTGGCATCCATTTGAGATTAAGCAACAGGCAGATCTGGCCTGGACCTCTGACTTTGAACATTACAAAACAACGAGGACAGAAAGTCATAAACAAACAATAAAGGACTGTTCAATATTTCAAAGAGAAGCTCTGGTAGCCTTTGAAAAACAGCCATGCAGGTGTCCTTTGCATGCACAGACCACGGGCTGAAGGCCCCGCGAAATGGCGAGCACAGCAAGCAGAATGCGACCAGTCCAAACACAGCCAGCCAGGCCCGTGCCCGCTTCCGCACCGTGGCCCTGATCGCTCGCAGCCTGGGCTCCTTCACCCATCGCTACCACCACAACCTTAAGGAGTCTACGGCCAAGCTCACTGGCATGAAATACCGGTATGTAAACAGAGAGTAGAAACTGTGTGAGGAATGAGAGGGTGGATGAGAAAATGTGTTAAGTTTAGATGGGCCATAGTTTTCTCTCCTCTGATAACACTGTGTAATATGGGAGAAAAAAAGATATCTAGAATGAGCTCATTTGTAAGAGCCCTGATGGAGACAATGAAGATATAAGAGCAGTGACAGGTGATGCGTGGGATGGTGTGTGTGTGCGTGCGTGCGTGGAGTGTGTCTAGGTGTTTGTGTCGAGATACAGACAAGATGCAGATTTATTGGCAGCTCCATATAAAATTCCACGTTTAACAATCTGTTGATAAAACTAGACTTTTTGACGGTTAAGGTTGCTTGGATTTCCTGGAGTTCCACATACAAGTTGATTTATTTACTTGCATTAAATTTGAGGGGCTGCTGCTGTTGCTGTCACCTCACAACATGAAGGTTCCTGGTTTGAATCCCTGGTCAGGGCCTTTCTGTTTGGAGTTTGCATGTTCTCCCCATGCAACTGTGGGTTCAGTTTTCCTCCGACAATCCAAAGACATGCCCCTTAGGTTAATTGGTGACTCTAAATCGCCCTTAGGTGTGAATGTGAGTGTGACTAATTGTTTGTCCCTGGAAAGCAGCCCTTTGATTGGCTGACGACCAATCCAGAGTGTACCCTGCCTCCTGCCCCAATGAAAGCTAGGATTGTCTCCAGCCCCCTGCAACCCTGAACAGGATAAGCAGTCGAAATAATGAATGGACTGAAATTTAACTTGAATTGAAAGATAAGGTATTTTGGTGTTGTAATGATGGATGACATTTTTGGAAAAAATATTCCTCAATATTTTTGTTGGGCAAATTAGTTTTAAACTGATATCCAGTTTTGACCCCAGCATTTTCAATGTGGCTGATATGGTTTAAAAAAAAAAAAAAAAAAAAAAAGTATATTACGCCGAGAAAAATTATTGAAAACTTTACTATGGACATTTTTTTTTTGTGTTGTGCTGGCTGCATTGTAGTACAGTGTTGATTCTATTTCATTTTCATGTATTAAACAGGAAATGAAGTAGCATTACAAAAGTTACAGTTAAACCAGACTGGCCTGACTCAGTTCAAACTGGTTTACAGCAGGTTCCTGTTCAGACCTAACCTAAGCAAAGTGCTGTTGCCCTCACAGCAAGATGGTTCCTGATTTGAATCCTTCCTACAACATTCCAAAGACATGCTTGTTAGGTCAATTGGTGTCATGTGTGTGTGAGTGGTTGTTTGCCTCTATATATCAGTCATTTTATTGGCTGTGTCCAAAACCACATACTAACTTACTGCCTATGCTATACTCAAACCGTATACTGAATAACTCACACTACCCTGACGATAAGTATGCCGTTAGCAGCATAGCAATGCACGTCCTCTCTTTGTCAAATGACGTCATCAATCATGTGTATCGGGGTCGGCGCACAGAAGCCTCAGTCTAGAAATATTATTTAACAACAATATACATATGTTCAGTATACAGCTATGACAGTCAGACACACACATTTGTATAGTTTAAAATGTTTTTTTTGCAGCAGAATATAGTTAGTGTTTGGCTCCTAGGCTCAGACCTAATCACTCCTCGCAGTTTTAATTTACATGCAGAAATTTGAGGAGTGATGGGATGATATCTTAACCCCCCCCCCCAGTCGGAGCCTACAGGTGGATACTGGGGTGGTGATGGTGGGGCTGAGCCAGAGTGCAGTTCTTCTACCGGTTAAAGCTGGCAATGAAAGAGCAGAGGGAGAGACTGGAAATCTTGCATCTTAAAAAGCTAATTGGAAGGAGTTGTCATGTGATTGTTGAGAATGAGGCATGTTAAGTGTGAAATTTGTGCATCTCGAGTTGACTGCCTGAACTAGCTCGCAGGCATCGCCTCATTTACTTATTTGAATATGCATATTAAATGTTTGAAGAACATTCACTTTTATTTGTACTCTGCTTGTTAGCTGATGGTGAGTTCAACCACTGAATAGTCTAAGGGCTGCAATGCATTGTGGGGCGCTTGAGTATGACAGTGGCCCCCGTATCATTCTTCAAATTATGATTATGTACTCAGTGTGACGTCATATCTGGTATGCATAGTGGTAGTATGAAAGCACTGTATGTTTCGACAACCTTTCTAGTGTGTACCTCACCTCTCGCCCAAGGATAGCTGGGATCAGCTAACCCACCTGATGCCACTCATCTGAATGAGCGGTTTTGATGAACAAATATAGTGAAAATAACTGTTATAAAGTGCTGCCATATCAATGTCATCAAAATAAGCTTATAAAAGGAGCAATACTCTTAGTGTTATATTAAGATCCAGCCTTATCACAACTTGAGGTCCTGAAATATGAAGCTGACCCAAAAAATGGTGCTGACCATCTATAACAGCTGTTTGTACTGACTGACAAGGATTTATGGAAGATGTGGGAGCATTAATATTTTTGCAGTCCATTTTATAGTAAAGTATAGAAGAAAGAAAAGTAGACTAAATTATTAAACTACAATTGATTTATAAAATAATCATTCAGATGACTTAAATTTATATCAAGAATACTGTACTTTTTATAGGCCAACTGAAAACTCCTCAAAAACTCTGAAATATATCTCTGATATCATAGTATATATTAAGTAAATATATTATCTCTCATGTGCTTGTTCAATACCACTAGCATCAGTGGAAGACTTTGACTGAGCTTCATGCAGTTTATTCAATAACTGGCTGTAACCGTAAGAACATTCTGTGAAGTGTGACAGTAAAGATGAGCAGAGCTGTGCACTCCAGCTCTTCGTGTGACTGTGTGGGAGTCCTAACCAAGCTGGGCCAAGTAAACAATGCGCTCTTCTCTTAGAGAGTGGGCCCTTAACCCAGACCAGCTCCACCTCACACTGCTGGTTTACTGAAGAGGGTGACATCATCACTCACGGTGTCAGGATGGAGAGAGACTCAGAGAGGAAACGGGGGGATGATGGGAAGGATAGAGTAAGAATGAAGAAATGACAGAACAAAAAAGGCAGAATAGTGATTGAATGAGAGAGAAAATCAGGGCACATGGGTCAGTTCACAGAAAAAAAAAAAGAGGCAATGAGCAGAATCTGTGCAGATTGGATGTGAGGCAGCTAAATGTGATATGTATCTGCTTGTCACACAATTTCATCTCGTTTCCATAACAACATTGAAATGGCCAACTTCAATCTGTTCCCCCAGCAGCAATAAAGCCTGGTGACTCTATTGTGCAAAATGTTTCAGCTTTTTGATAAAAGACTCTTTCCATTAACGGAGATGATTCATTTGGAACAAGCTATTGTCTTTTTTTTTTCAACTCAATCATTTCACCCCCTTTTTTATGCTTACAGACAAATCCATTTTCTTGTGTTTGACTCTCTTATATTTTCCTTACTTTCCCTAAATTGATGGTTAAATTGCTTGGTTTCTTAAATGTGTGAGTTGTTGTTGTTGTTTTTGGGTGTTGAAATGAAGATTTGCTCATCCTTGTACTGCGTTTAAAAACAGGTGGAGGACATTAGCACTAAAGCTTCCTCTAAGCTGTCAGTAAATCCTTCCGTTTTTTCACCGCAGATGAGCGAATATTGGATGCAATAACTCATCTGTGATATCCTTTCTCTGCTTCCTGTTTGTTTAGTCTTTTCTGTTCCTCTCTCTTTCTGTACTGTATCGCTCTCTATTTATTTTTTAAAACATCTGACTCAAAGGTATTTGATTAAAGCATTCCTGAATTTCAGCTGACAGGGAATCTCTTAAGCTCAGGCTAAGTTTGTAAAGAAAAAAAAATCTGTTTTCTCTGCACATCAAGAGGAAGCTATTTTTTTTTACTTGTGGGCGTATTCATTGGCAAATTGGATTTCATACATGAGCGCATGTATGTGCATGTGTGGCGTGAATGCTCGGCACTGCGAACATCTGAAGGCGTAGCAAGTTGAGGCAGGAGAAGTGATGTGCACAGCAGGCAAGTGAGCTCAAAGTAATAATACCGTCATCTGCAGCATTTTGGTTGTCATGGCGATCCAAATATAGTGTAGCTCTGGTTATGGTGTAAACATAGTTGCAAACCTCCAATTATGTTTGACCTTTGCTTACTCCTGAAATAATACAAACCCGCAAGTAGCACACAAAAAAAGGCCAAAATATGGGATTCAACTAAACCTGCTGTTGTTGTTAGCTTCACAGATTATTTCTGGTTCCTGGTAGGAACATCAGTTTGAAGTTCAGAACGGTCATTAGGCACCAGAAGGCCTTTTGACAGAACAGGAGGTTCAGGGTAGATTGCGCTTGGTTGGTTCAGAGCTTCAGTGCAGATGGGTTTGCAGAAATCCCTTCTGTTGGTTCCTCTGAATGCTGGCTTATCAGCGGCCAGCAGAGAGAGAGGCACTCTGCTGTGTGTACTTCATGTGTCAACAATGTGACCAATGCAATGCAGAAAGCAGTCGCATTATTAAGTGTTTTTTTCTGTGCACAGAAAATGTGGTCTGTTTCAAGGTGCTCCACACTTTCATATAGAGGAGCTGAATGAAAGTTTTGTAGAAGTTTTTTGTCCCATCTATTTGTGAGAAGCAGCCTCAGGACATATGTCTTTCATACTTCACAGATGACTTTAATGTGCCTCCAGCGTGAACATTTAATTAAAAATCGTTTTCACTTTAGGGCCCCTCTATTCAATAAACCAACAGACTCTCCGCAAAAAAAGTGAGATTTTCTTTGTTATTATCATTTCTCCTGAGTCATCCAAATAATTGATAGCAGAGGACTGGTTTCTTCTTCTCTGATCTACTCTGTGAAAATAGCTGGAGATATCAGAATATTTGTATGATTTTGTGGAAAATATTTTGTTTCGTAATCTAAGGCTTGGCTCGGCCAGGGACATGAGAATACACTGCAGGGTTTTTAAAAAAAAAAAAACAGATATAGGATTAAGTCAGCAAACAAATCTTAATTTTTGCTTTTCAGCACAAATAAGCTTGTTCAGTGGGTTTGGAAAAGGTGTCAGAAGATTACACAGCAGGACAGAGTTTTGAACAGCTTCAGTGGGAACTCATGCAATGTCGGTCTGCTTGTCCTCTTATCACATATTTTTGCTGCTGTTGCGATCGTCAGGCTTGACCATTATTTTGTCCATTGCTGCTGTTTTGTGTTAAGTGTGTGCATTTGCAGGTGCTTGTGTGACTGCATATGTGTGTTTGCATGTCTTCTTGCATCTTTTCACTGCATTCCCATCATTTTGCAGTTTGTATCCTTCTCTGCGTTAATTTGTTCATTGTACGCCCTATCTTCATTATACGTCAAAAGTCTAACATAAATGTATTTCCTACACCATTTACTTCAGCTCCTGTCTCTGCTGTTCTGCTGTGATGTGTAGCTCTAATAATATGAGCCGGGTTGTTGCACAACAGGAGCCCTGTAGCAATGAGCTTCACTCTGCCTAAAGACCAAACAAGCCCCAAAGGATCAGAGCAGCCCAATCTCTCAGTTTAACAGCCAGGGTGTTTGCATGGGCTTTGCGTTTTAATTAAAGGTCACAACTTAAACAGTTTTCTGTACGCCTAATGGCTTTATAATAGTATTGCCTTGCTAATACAGTCTTGTCCTTTTTCTTCAGGGGCCTCTGTAAACAGGCTGTAATCATAAAGATAATAGGGAGGGATACATCAAAATAAAACACTGCTGTTTCTGTAGAGCAGACAATAAACTGAATTGTTGGCTGAGCTGAGAAAGGCAAAACTTCGCAAAATCAGCTAATCCGTATCCATAAAATCTACCTCAGCCCTCACAAATCTCTATTATCTTTGTGAATTTGTAAAAGGTCACAGAAGAACAAAACACAGTGACCTTACAGCGATGCAGTGAGGTCAACAGAAACTGTGTTTGTTTCGGAAATCAAGGATTGTAATATAACTTACGTTGTTCTATTTGCTTAAAATCTTTTGACAATGCTTGTTTTTGACTTCTCCATTTTGATACCTACCAGTGAACCACAAGTAAACCTTTGAAAATACCCTGACATACTTTCTATCAGGACAGTATGGAGGTTTTCCGTTGTCATGATATGAATATATTTTCACCCCACATGCAGGCTCTCTCTGAAATCGTTCTGAATCAACTACTTCAGATCAGCCCACACGATTTTCAATACAGGATCAACCCACAAGGCCACAAGCTTCAGTCATGTATCCCTGCCTAAAACATACTGTAGTTTTTTTTGAGAGAGATTCTTTAACCACTTTCTCCATCAGATTTTGGAATTTCAATGTGCAACATGCTGTTTGCATCTGAGTATAAGTAGTTGAAACAATGTGGCCATGGTGAAAAGCAAAACAGAGAGTCAGATCCAGACTCTGCACCGTTTTTGCACACTCACTCAGACTGTCCAAACATGCGCATTGTGCAGGGCCCTGTAGGGAGCTGTCATTTCCTATTTCCCATTCTGTGTCATATAGAATTCTTTATCTGTAGAGGTTGTTTGATCTGCTTAGACTTGGGCTTGGACTTGCAACTATGCAAGCCGCGGTCTGCTGCTCGTTTCGTAGTTTCTTTCTGTCATTAGAGCACTCTGCTTCCATCTTCCTGTTCAACCGTGAGGGATGTACCCTTCATCAGTAAATTAATAATCCCCACCCACCCACTCCCCCACAAACTCTGTTGCAGCTTTGCTTTCATACTAAATGTCTTTATTTTTTCCCCTCAAACTTCCCTTCTTTCTTCCCACCCACACATGCCCTGTCTGTATTCAGAGTATGACCCTCCTTTTCTCCCCTGCACTGAATTACTTTGATAACAACATCATGGGTGTCATCAGGAGAGCACTGGGAAAACAGGAGGTGGGTGTTGTCTAATCCCTCTGCCCATCGAGGTTGGTTTGTGTGGGTTTGCTCAGTCTACATTAATCCCCAGCGAGTGAGGAGTTTTATCTGTTTACTCACAACCTTGAGGAAAGTGTTAGCAGACAAATATTGATTCCAACAATCCAATATCGGGAAATAAATCACAAGGAATGCCCCGGTGTAACTTGAGCACAAAAAGAAGCGCTTTCCAGGAAAAACGACAACATCCTCCTACGATAAGAGGTCATTCCTGCTAAGATTTCAGCACAATAAATCCACCAGATGTTCATTTGTTTCAGCTGGGGATCCACTAAGAATAGCAGCAGCTGCATGAAGTAGCAGCTCGCAGGATGTTCATAAGTGGTGACAGGTTTGTGTGAGGGGGCGTCTTCAAATGACTCATTTGTCATTTTACTCGGAGGCTTCGTTTGGGCATCATCCAAGCATGAGGGGCCGAGAAACACTGACTGGCTTGCAAAGTTGACTATGTTTGATTTTGTATGGACATGTTGTCTTTTCCTAAGAGTGTTCATTTTACCATTACAGTAAAATACAAAAAAAGAACCTCTGCATCCCAGCAGTGCCATTTTATCTCACTTTCTCCCTGCAGGACCAATTTCTTCTTTAATATGGAGTTTTTCATTTTCTTTCCTTTGTTGCAAATGACAAGCAGTAATTTCCTAAATTACTAGCTTCTTAGACTATATGTGCCTCTGCTGGCACCTACTCCCCAGACCTGGACAGATCTATTAAGGCTTTACATTGGGGAGAGTGGTTAATAATCAGGTGTGGCTGCTGCTGCTTCCTGACTCCCCAGAAATCACTGAGATTTTCCAGTCTTTTTTCTCACTTCATTGAGACACATGTATTCATTTAAAGCAACAAACTGCAAAGTTCACTCATGGAAGATCTTCGAAACACAAAGCTAGCATTTTTTTTTTTTTAAGGACAGCCAGCTTTATTTAGAAATGGAACGTGCCTGCAAGCTTGTTTTTTGTTGCGATATCGTGCATGAATGAGCCACTGTAACACATGAAAACGGTGTCAATGACAACCGGGAGATGTACATACAATTCTGATCTGTTCCAGGCATAACGCAGCTGATTTACCCAGAGTGCCTTGCACTTAATTCAGTCGTGAACATTTCCGATCATAGACATAGTTTGTCCTCAGTAACCCCCTTAAACGAAACACACGTAGATTCAGTCGGTATCACACTTTTAACCTACCGTACAGCCCTTCCCCCACACACTTGGATCAGAGCTCCCACTCTATAATACATCAGAGAGACGGAGGATACAATATCCAAACTCCTCCACCATATCAGAGACAAGAAGGCATCCCACGATATTTGACTGCAGAGAGACATGTGTCTCCTCATTTTACCCTGTCATTGTATTATCAGTGCCTTAATTACGCAATACATCACAGGATCCTTAAATTTGTCAAGTCACCCAGAGTGTTAATATGCTAACTCTTTCTTCTGTATGTTTCCATCCGTTATCATGCCGGCAACTGACTCTGTGACTGATTCTTCGCTATGTCAAACACCTAATTGAATTGGCTGAAGGCACAGTTAGATAGCACAGGCTCGGGTTAGTCTGCATTCATCTTGACAGGCACAGGCCATTAGTCGTCGGGCACGAGAAACTGACTGATGGCACTTTCTACAGCCTCATTTGTTGTAATGAGTGAACGCCGGCAAAACCAAGCAGAAGGCACAATCCCCCAGAAGGATTACTGAGGGTTGTTTCTGTGTCAAGAATTAAGTATTTGGACATGTTCTCCTCTCAACATCAAGTGTTTCTGCTTGTGATTGTGGCCTTGTGAATGCATGTGGCCTTGTTGATTCTGTCAGAGGAAAGTGTCTCCATTTCACACGTATATTTGCTCATAGTATTTTTCTCTGTTGGATGACTACAGCTGTCTTTTGCAGTCCTGTGGATCCCTTTGAGTTGTCTTTCACCTGCAGTGAAACGGGAGAACAATCCGCTCTTGGTGTTCTTGCCATTGTTACGTCGTTAAACGCTCTGCACCATGACTTCCCCTCTCTGTTGGACTTGATGCCACACAGATTGCAAAACGTTAAGAAGAGGGCTGAGAGTTAAGGGTGGTAAGAACTTTGATGTCTGAGTTTATCCCCCATGGTGGTAATGAGAGTAGAAAGAGCTGTGTTAAAATGCTGCAGATCAGCTGGATGTAAATTAACTGCTGTGGTAGAAGCACGATGGTGCACTGTTGCTCTTTTAATATAGGAACAGGGACGCATTGAGAAGTGAGGAGAGAAAGAAAGAGTGCATGTGTGAAGAGCTATCATAAAAGATGCTGATGTGAAAACACTTCATAGTAACAGCGAGCATTGTTGTTTGCATTGGGTGCATTTTCTTACCTTCTAAATGAGTCAATCAATATGTTCAAAACATTGTACAAACCTTCATGTTGCTTCAGTATAAACAGTACTTTTATTGATTTCTTAACTAAATCGAATATTTCTGGGTTTTCCTATCCTTCAAGAGGAGCTATATGATCCCTTTTCTTGGAATTCATAAACTGTCCATTTCCCTTTAATCCCTCAATTTTGAGTCAGGATTGTAGATGTGTTAAAGGTGACCCTAAGATTCACTGATTCTCCTCTTGTTATCCTTGAGAAGCTATCTTTATAAACCCTGGTAATGAAATCAAAATTGATTCTTTGCTCTGACAATATTGTAAGCTCTGCAATATCAAAATTGCTGTATACTATTTTTATATTTCAGTCGACTGACTTATGACGTAAAACAACATAGATTTAAGCTCGGTAAGCCGAAAAATCTTTGTGCGCCTGAAGCAAAATACATGAGCGTAGTGATTGCAATCAGATTTGACGGATGACATCTTGAACCTTAAAAACATTGCTTTTGTTAATCAGACTTTATATTTTTCTCATAGGAACCTGGGAAAATCTGGGTTGCGTGTCTCCTGTTTGGGGCTCGGTGAGTACATTTACTGTAATGAGTATCAGAAGTAAATGTCTACTGATTTCAAGAGCGTAAAAGTGCAAGCTTAACAGTGTGTGTGTGCGTGTGTGTGTGTGTGTGTGTGTGTGTGTGTGTGTGTGTTTGTGTTTTGAGATGTGAGAATGTAGTGCCAAGCAGAAGGGAATATTCGTTGTATCATGTATCAACCCATTCTTATGCATGTTTCATACGCATGGGGAGTTATGAGAGAAGAGACAAAGAGGTTTTCAGAGTGTTAATATTTTCCCTGTTAATATTTAATCAATAGCACTGGTTTCATCTCACATATCCAAAGCAAATCATGAGGGTAAACACTCCTTCATCTTGATAGGACTGATTCATTTGGTAAATCTCTGGTGCCTGGGGATGTGTGTTGGCCTTATCTTTATATAAACATGTGTGTATGTGAAGTATTGCAGCATGTGTTTGTTGGAAGTGATGTGTCTCGGCAGGCAGAATACTCTGCTGCCTAGAAAATACTCAGGCAAAGCTACTGACAGAAAATCTGTAAATGACTTAGTTAATTATCTGTTTAGGTGATTTAAAAAAAAGATTTAACCATATTGCATTGAGCAGCAGGGAGGAATAATGGATTGTAAACCATCATTTAACTTAAAATAATTGGCTTCAAACCTCATTATTGGCAAGTCTTATTCCAGCATCAGTGCCCTGTAGTGAAACACTGATTTCTACTTGTTGCTACTTTCAGTAAACAAGAGAAAAATAGTTTTCACTGTAGCGATGTTAAAAGACCAGTATTTGTATCTAATGGCTCTTACACATTGCCATTCGAAGGCAGTATACTAACCTGTTGCGCCTCGCATTCAAGTGTAACGCATAGAGGAACAATTGTGGGGCAAGTTGTTTCACCACCCTCTGAGCCTCCATCAAAGGTTGTAAAACAGCCTAAATAGGGCAAAGATGGTGGCAATGTGTAATGTCGGAGTAGTAGGGCGGATCAGTGCTGTGTGTGTGTGTGTGTGTGTGTGTGTGGTGCATGTGTGTGGGTGAGTGTATGCGTGTACGGAATCACAATCAGTAAATGACTTATGTGGATTTATGGATTTCAGTGTCTACATGTCATAATGAAACATTCAGGGAATTGGTTAATCATTTTTGCAAATATGGGTGTCCCTTTTTTAGACTTAAACTTAAAAGATTGATACCAATATTGAATCTGTGTGCTAAACTAGCACTCTGTTATCTTGACTGGCAGACAGGCTAGAAACAGGGGGCTGGGAGGGGGGCAGCTAGCCCTTTCTAGAGGTGCATACTATTTCTATGTTGAGGAGTGAAGTAACTTGCAACCATGTGTTTGGACAAATGCAACATAGCGTGTATTTAAAGATATTGTTGTTACCTGCAGACAGAAACAGCTGTTTCCCCCTATTTCCAGCTCTCATTCTGATCCGAGCCTATCAGCATTAAAGCCATCACTCAACAAGAATGCAAATAACCTACATTTTTAAATCTTTTCCTTTAAAATTTTAAAACAAATTATAATTAATATCATTTAGAAGAAAATACATTTGAAATACCAGATAAGGCTTCAGTCTCCTAATGTTGGTGCAATAAATTAAAGATTGAACAGCAGCCTATTCATTACTTCTTATTAGTGGAATATGACAACAAGGAGCATGGGATAGGATGCGGCAAAGGAAGAGTAGATTAATAATGTTAAAGTTTTAGTAAAAACTTTGTTAAGCTTATGCTGTTTGGAAAAACAGCTGCTGCAACTGTGTCTTTCTATATAAAGAATAACGATATATATAAATCATATGTGTGTATGCACAGTCGTGTACAGTGAATCTGAGAAGACCTCACATAACCTGAGACTTATTCTCACTCCTGTTATAGAGGTGTTAAGTGATAGTGCCAATACGCCTATTACTTATCAAGTCTCTTTTAGCTTTTGACAGATGACAGGTGCTGTCTGTCTAACCGTTTGAGGCTTGAAAGAACGAGGAGAAGAAAGGTTAGAATAAAGAAAACGCCATGCTCCTTGGGGGTACATCTCTAGCAGAACTGTCATTGAAGAATACAATCAAAACAATATCTTCAGCATCTACATTAAAACGCTCTCTCATCTACTCACTTTTGCAATACAGAGATTTCTTCCAGCATCCACCCTCTTTGTATAGAGATGAGAGTGCAGCATTTGTGTCTTGTGTGTTTCTGTGTGCTACTGCCTCAAGTGACAGTGTCAAAAGGCATAGTCAAAATTAAAAGAATTGGGCAAAAAATAACAATGAGATATTTTTTTAGCTTGACCATTTCCGGCGTATTCAAATGAGGGTGAGCCCAGGCTGGTCTGCTGCCACTCTTTGTTTGCAGTTGGGCTCCAGATTTATCAGCTTTGTCATTATTTTATACAAGTATGAGATGACGACATGCAGCTTGAGGCAAGACAAGGTAAACATGATTCGGAGGAGATGATAATTCGAGCAAAAGCTATGTTTAATAAATGCATATATTAGAATTCTGTACATCTGTTCTGTCACTGCAAATTTATATCAGAGCCTTAATTTATTTTGGAAGAAAAATCTCAGCAGACAAAATAATGTTAAGAGACCAGAGTTAGCCTAAAAGGCAAATTTAAGAAAGCCAAAATCTTTAAAACGAGGCAAAAAAAAAGAAAAGAATAACTTTAACTTTTTTGTTGAGCTATGAAAAGCTTGCTTTTCTGTGTAACATTCTCCTAGATTACATTATCGTCTGCATATAAATAGATTTTTAAATTTGGACGGACAAAATAATAAACAATCTCTCTAGTATGATTTGCGTGAGCGATTTGTAGCCAATACCTAATAGTACAGGGACAGAGTTGCGTACATTTATACTGATAAGACACTTTTGAAAGCAGCTTATGTACCCTATGTAGGGCAGAGCAGTGCATCATGATTTATAATGAGAGTGCACCTGCAGGTAGTACATTTTGTCTGAGTGCACTTAAAGAAAGAACAGCTGTGTAGTGGCAAAGAATACATACAGTACGATGTGTACATGACAACAGAACTTTGTTGCATTTGTGTGTTCTACCCTTAAAAAAATAAAAAATGATTTAGAGGTAAATTATTAGAGAGAAACCAATCATTTAATGGTAGCAATCCTAAGAAATTGAGTGAACGTAAAAGCAGAAGATGCGATTATAAATGTTAAGATTTGTGCTATGCTATTTCAATATGAATTTTTTTTTTTTTTTACATCACTATTCCTAGTTGATCTAATTGTCTCTAGTATTTACCCAGCATTTCTACATACAAGACTTTATTGTTATTAATCAAAGTTCTACATAGAGATGTTTTAAGCAGAAGAAACTCATGGCAGTGACTTTTTTCTCTTTCAACACTCAACCCTGACATTTGGCTGTGATGCCTTTGGGACAGAGTGAATTTTGTCCTGTGTCCATGCCAAAATGTCAAAGTCATCATTACTGCAAAACTGAAATGATTTGGAGGACTTGTTTATATGCTAAATTGTCTAGTATGGTTTTTTTTTAAACTTCAACGTTTTCCTCAACAGGCACATGGGTAACGTTTGGAGGTCAGATCTCTGATGAGGTAAGATGCTTTGTTAAATCTATCCTTTACCTGTCATAGCGGCCGAGGAGATGTTCTGCTCATTATTTAAGACCTCGCAAATACTTCTAGTGGATAATTTCTTGTCTCCATTGGGAGAAATTTGGTGTAACTGGATTTAAAATGGTGTCATTGTCAGTAGATTGCGTAGTCATTTAGGTTCAGTGTCAATGCTGCCCAAATCACAGCAGGTTGTGAACTCCCTGTTGGCTCTAACAAGGTCAAACAGTCAGGTCTTATTACTCTGTGTCACAATTTATTAAGTGGAAGACCTCCTGCAGCGACTGGGACTATCTGACATACACAGAGACACAAATAGACTCACAAAAAAAGCAGGTACCGAAGATAGTAAGTGAACAATATCCTGACAAAATTGGCCTTCTCATGCATTGCTCTGAATAAAACTGCAGGCACAAGAACTAGGTCAAAAAAAAGTCTGGGAAATATATTGAGCAGTAAACAACTTAAATCAGCGAGCAGCCTCTACAATTTTCCTTGGTGATTTGTAGCTCAGCGGCAAATAGATTTACAACCCTTGAGTTTCTTCTGGGAATTACTTTACTCGTCCGTTTTGAAGTGTAATTTGGGAAATATTTATAATCATGCCTCATATCATACTGAAGGTTAAAGTAACTTTTCTTGTCTGTGTTCAGGTGGCAGAGCAGCTGATGACCATCGCCTACGAGAGTGGGGTCAACCTATTTGACACAGCGGAGGTCTACTCTGGGGGGAAGTAAGTGATGTCTTGGATTTGTTATGTGTCTCATTTCTAAAGAGCACTTTTTATGGTCTTGTCAGCCCTTTAATAATAAGATGACAAATGTTGATACGCTTACTCCCAGACCAGGAGTTATTCACCAACCTTTTTCCCTCACTGGAGACTCCCTTTTATGTTAGCAATTTAATCTGACTTTATAGGCCTAGACATTGTCTTTTTGAATAATGTGGGACATGTTGCAGCTGTACGGGGATGAATATTAATTTCAGGGTTTCTGGTGAAATGCAGGCGTACAGTACAAGAGACATTCTTCCTTTATCTTGGGCTAGTTCTGATTTTTAATTGTGTCGTCATGCTGTAGATGTGTGGCAGATAATAGCCACACATACATGTTCTTCGACAAAAGGCAACCTGATGGATAATCTCGTCATCTCGTCCTGTATTTTTATCTTTGTAGAGCAGAGATAATCCTGGGAAACATCATCAAGAAGAAGTGCTGGAGGTAAAGTACAGTCTCCTAAGATTTGAATGCTTTCAGCTTTGAGATGTGGGTTTACACAACTACCTAATTTGTACAGGCAAATACCAAATGTACCCAAATGTAATGTACAATCCCTCTGTTCTTTGGTGGAGCCTGCAGGGGGGTTTACACTTCACAACAAAAGTGTTTGTGAGGTCAGGCTCTGCCATGTCCTGGAATAAAGACTGCCTCCCATTTAGAGTTCAATTTCACACCAAAGGCATTAGATCTGTTTCAGGTTCTTTTGATCATGGAAATAATAATAAAACAGAAAAAGCCTTAACCACGATACAATCTAGCATAGTAAACTTGTGTCCCCTTATCATCGCAGAGGTTTACATTTGGAAAATAGTTGAAATCTTAGGCTCTGTTTTTGCATTAAAGAGAAAAAGTAATACAGTATTTTATAAGAAGACAACAGAAATATTGATTAAAATGTCTCAAAAGGAGAAAGTCTACAGCCTTATTAGCTACGTTTTGAAAATTAGGTCATGAAATATATTTATATCGTTGGACATTTCTGTCACATTCCTGTGTGCTGAGTGAAAAGTATGTAATTGTTTTATGCTGATACATATGGAGAAGGACAAAAATACCTCATCTTGAATATTAAAGTGTGCTATATGCTAGCATGTTAGTATACTGTCAGTGACATTACGAACTTATTGATGTTTAACATGCGACATGGTTATGGTGCTTACCATACTAGATTGGCATTGATTGTTATTAATTCTACAGGTAGTTTGGTCATATACCAAGTATTTGTTAATCATCGCTGATTCACTTAAACCTGGCCAAAGAAAAATCTATTTATTTCTAGAAATGTTGCTCGTATGTAAAAACACATTATGCTAATTACTGTAACTCTCAGTTGAAATAGCACACAGGTGCTTGTTAGTGTGAGCTTTTCTCAGGTTTCTTAGTCTGTACTGCATGAATGCCACACTGCAGTGATAACAAGACTCAGTTTTGTGTTTCAACCTTCACGACGACTCAAGCCAACTCTTTGTCTGCCTTCATCTCTTCTGTTTAGAATTGTTGATCATCCAAGCAGGGGAGGATTTATACTGAGGGTTCTTGGTCGAGAATAAAGTTCTCCTCTGTGATTGCTCATTGTAGATATGTTTGAGAAAGAAGTGTGGCAAATCTGCCCCTTTGCATTGCAGGATAGAAGGTCCCTGGAGGATAATTATCATTATAAACAAAAGCAAATGAGAAAAATTCTGCTCACTCCACAAATGAAAAAACAAACACACACTTATGCAATCATGCTGGCATGTAGGCATGGACAAACTCACACTTCCTTTAAAAAATGTTTTGTCCTTTTTATGGCCTTTTGATGTGTCTGTCTGTCATCCCTCAGGAGATCCAGCCTGGTGATCACCACAAAACTGTACTGGGGTGGAAAGTAAGTGTGTATTCATGCATGAGTGTTTTTTTGTGTGCATGTGTGTGTTTGTGTCCGGCATGTTGCGCTTTCCTCAGAAGTTCAGGCTATCTCACCAACGGCAGGCTACACTTTGAAAGTTTTGCCTCCGGTGTCAGAGCATGACATGGGATCAAACATTATGAAAAACCCCAAGGCTCACAGACACGGAGGACACACTCAAAAATGACAACATTGCCGTTTTATCAACCCATCATGCTTCCTTTTAAACCTTCCCAAAACTTCTTGCCAAACTGCCTAGAGACGTATCTTCTGCTGTCATGCTGAAGTGCTCTGCTCTCAATCTGCATTAAGCTGCTTTTACACACAGAACACTTTTGGCTCTGCTTAACTCTTACTTGCTAGTGGTGTTACTACTTTCTCTACTTGGTTTTTGTAATAAATATAGCGGCTATCTGCTCACGAGGATGTTTTTTTAGATGAGAATATATTAGACATGTGTCAAACCTCTACATAAGTTAGCAAATTGAATGAACATAAGCTACATGTATGTACATTTAGTTACATGTTAAAATGGAATGCTATGAAATTGTATAGGAGGGTCGCTGTCACAGAACGGGCAAACAATTTTTGGTATTAGCTCAGCTCACTTGATACCTACGTCAAGGTGAAACTACTAAAGTACCAAATACTTTTGGTACTACAACTTCTGCTTTGGAAATCCAAAAGAGAATGGTTCCAAAAGTTGAGACGACTTTTACCATGCAGACGAGATGATGCATGATTCATGATCGCCCTGTTTCTGAAAGTTTTAAAGCTCTTACCCAAGGATATAGAAAATCCCCAAATGCATTTACCTTCTTCTGGTTTTCTTTGAATACCTGATCTTGATCAGTAGAGTAGACCGTGGGTAAGTTAAGCTCATCCTCTAAGCTTATCACTGAGGCACCATATCAGTTGTTTCCATAGTGGAGGGATTGACAGATCAACTTTTTGACCCCTCTCTGACTAAGCTATGCCTGAAAGGTCCATAAGCATCTTATCATCCTGACATTAATATATTGTTGTACAGTTATCTCTTCATAAGAACTTTGAGTGAAAGGTTAAGAGGCACTACAATAGGAGGGACAGCATGTGTTTTTGTGTTATTATAACCCATAAGCAGGCTGGGACCAGAGGAAGGAGGGAGGCAGAAGAGAAAGTGTGAAATGAAGCAAAAGACAAGACAGCAAGAAGCTAAACAAAAGCAGAACAAGCAGAAAAGAAATAGGCCATAAAAGAAAATGCAAGCATGAGGAAAATCTGAAATTGACTGAGTGAACACAGGTGAGCCTTCTTATAGATCACTGAAAGATTGAAAGCACAGTCCTGCAGGGTATTGCTTTTTTCATTTAGTTTTGGATTACTTTCATCACTTTTATGAGAGTCATTTAAATGTCCATTTATCATTGTCTGTTTTAGAAATACAGCTAACTGACATATCTGAATCTATAAACTGACCTATCCCTAACTAACCCAGCTGTGCTTACATCAAGCTGGATGAGTATTGTTTTGTTAAAGGGGCCACTGCAATCCACACATCATTTTGGATTTTTAACCAGGGCTGGTGTTATTGTGAAGGAGGTGAAAACAAGACTGGAGTTCAGATTTATTGCTAGAAAGCTGAGTGTGGACCTGAGCTATTCTTTCGGGTATTTTTTGGTCAGAAGTTTACCACAATGTAGGGCTCTGTGCACGGTTTCTTGAGTATAGGAACAATTCCAGCGGTTTTGGAAGATGATGACCAGGAGCGGGAGAGGAGTGGATGAAGTTATTAGAGAGGACAGGGAGGGTACTCAGGCTTTTTACCAGGTGAGCAGGTACAAGATCTAGCTGACAGGTAAAAGATTTTGATTTCTGAATGATGCACATAACCTCTGTTACTGCTTTCAAACAAGGCTGGAATCACTTCTACCTATGGTTACCTCTCAGTGTGTGAAGCGTAACAGAGGCATCACAGTCTTGCTGTGAACTGGCAATGTAAAAAGAACCGCTGATACATTCACCAAGAAGATACTTTTTTTTTTATCTTGTGGATGGTCTGACTGGTTAGAAATCTGAATTGAGCATACAGTAATAGCATGTAAAAAAAAAAACAGTTTTGTGGGATGGATCTTTGTAGTGAGGTAAAAGTAATTTTTTTCTCTAAACTTTAGTAGTAATAATTGAATCAAGTTAAGCCCAATACTCATTCATAAACAAGTCAATTTACTGTGCAAAATTCAGGCCACATAGATCATAATACATGTTTGTCGATGATATATATTTACATGCAAATGACTTATCATCAGGACAGACAGTGAGAGCATGCCCATGCGTGTTTGCCCACCTCTAAGACACAGTGCACGGTTTGGTCTATAGCTGTGGGCATTCTGCAGAGCGTGGTGTGTTGCTTGTCAGTGGTTTTGTGGGTAGTTTGTCATACAGGCTCTTGTATGTTGTTGTGTGTCAAAGCACTGACTTTCTCTTTTTCCCCCTCCTGTTGCAGAGCAGAGACAGAGAGAGGCCTCAACAGAAAACACATCATTGAAGGTAACAAGTCGATTTCCCTCTCCTCTGCTTTGTCCTTCACATCACCCCATCACTCAGAGCGCCGCTGCACTCCTCTAATCTCCTCTCTTTTATCTCGTCTCCTCCCGATATGTGCATTCTCTCTCTCAGTATTCACACCCAGCGGAATTTGGAAATTGTATTTGCAAATGCTACATCAAACTGCAACAGATGTTTTGTCTTATCAGTTGTCTTACCTTAAGGGGTGCCTTTCCAAGAGACTATGACATCATAGTATAGTACACACATAAAACACCAACCTTAAACACCCTTCCTCCTTCTACTAGGCTCCTAGAAGCTTTACCCCCCTGCCCCGACACACACGCACACGCACGCACACGCACGCACACACACGCACACACACGCACACACATGCACACACACACACACACACACACACTTCCAAAACAACGCTCCATCCAGTCCACAGCGCAATGCACCTCCTGCAGTGACTCAGCTCTCTCCCACATTATTAACATTCACAGCAGCCTCTGCAACTTTCCCCCCAGAACAAGTGAGGAGAAATACAGTTGGAAAGGGCCGGAGGAGAAGGGCAGACGGGCAGACGGGCAGACGGCGAGGGGAATGATAAGGGCCATTGCTAAATAGCTAAAGCTAATTTGCATGTTCGGTTGATAGCGCTCATGTGAGAAAGATACAGTGACTCTGCAACAAATGAAGAGGCACAATGTCACCACAAGCTAATTGAATAACTGATTGGAACTGAACTGAGTGTAAAGCCAACCACTGGCCATTTGGTGAATCATTTGATTGTTCAGGTGAGTGTGATGAGGAGTCCAAACTTCACGAGCTGGAGTTAGCACTGATCAACTTTAGGGTAACATGCAAGAAAATGTCAAAGTCTGTGGAACAACCTGGAAGAACTTTAACTCTTTTCCACAGGACAAAGAGTTCATTGACAATGTCATCATTTCTAAGAGGCTTTCGAAGAACACATAATGAAATACATTATTCACCACAGAATGAAATATTTCCCATTAGAATAGCTTCTGTTGTTCAACATCTTTTTGCAGTTCCAAAAATAGATTCCCTTCACAGCCAGAAAACTCCAGCTAATCCACAGGACTGCGGAAACCGCTCGAGATGACTGTGCAGGCTCCGATTGGGATCCATGTAATGGGTGTGATCGTGGGAGCTCAGATGACAGAGGGAGGAATAAGTGGTTGGGATGGTGGTGAGGAGAGCAAAACTCTCAGCTGGGATTAGCGGGCGGCGATGAAGCCTCTGGCACTAATCTGCCATGCACGCTCACGTACTTGAGAGCGCAAGAGTGTCTTTTGCCTTGTCTTCTTTACTCTGCTGTCCTCCTCTGTGACAGTCTCCTGTGTTCACCTATCATCTTTCATCTGGTCTCCTCATGGTGAATGAGGACTGATCTGCACACAATAGTTTTTTTGTTTTCGCTTCTCTATATAGTATATTTTTTTTCACTCCAAAAAAACTAAAAGCCAAGCAAGAGAGAAGGAGATTGGTGCAATTTTTTTTTTTTTCCTGATCCTTCATTTTTCATAAATGCCTCTCCGATAAATGCATTCATTTATGTAACAAGGATAAAAGTGTGAAAATGTGCAGAGTGTTTTCCACAAAGGTGTTCTTAAGAGATTGTCAAGCTTCACACAGAATAACCTTGAAACTGGTCCAAATAAATCCTTCATTCCACATTCGTCTCCAAGAGACAACTACATATTTTTAACACTGGCTATGTTTAAAAAATATGAATCAAAGCAGTTGTATTCATCTTGGGTAGAGAGAGAGAGTGAGGAATGACACGTGGGAAAGGAGCCCCAAGTCGTATTTGAACCTTAGCTGCCCGCTTGGAGGTCTACAGCCTCCGCACATGGGCGCCTGCACAAACCTCTATTCTATCCACGCAACATTATTGTGACATTTTTAATGGAATCAAGTTATTCAGTCTAAACATTTAGCAGTTTATGGTCTTGTTAACAAATTCTGTTTCATCCAAGTGAACCATGTTTTCAAGCTAGTAACAGCTCTTTCTATCTTAACAATAAACTTTAATAAAATTGTCAAACTAAAGATAAGGATTAACTAAATACAGACTCTTCATTCAGAATGATCACAATGTTTATTAAATGAAAAGTCCCTCCTTCTTCATAAAAAAGTACTTTTTCAATCATTAATAAATGAAATTGTCCAAGAGCACATCACTTCTCAGTTGATTATGGGATAGTATATAATATGGGACAGTATATTTAAGTATTCAAGGAGATATAGTCTCCATATCCTTTGCAAACTATGCATGTTGTTGTTGGTCCTGTATCCGTGACCCCTCGCTTGGTAAGCCAGACAGAATATGACAACACGGCATCACGTGTTTGCTGGATCAAAAGATGTGGCAGGAACGCTGCAGCTGGCAGGCGTTGAGTCACATTTGTTCAGCTGTCACTTTGCCAAAATTACAAACATGTTGACTTTAAATCCCCATCCAGTTCACCCTAGTTTTCCTTTAACCGATTTCCATGTTTAAGAAAAAAAAAGAAAAATGGTGTTCTTGAAAATGTATTTTTTTATATACGAGCAGAATGTCATCCAAAATATTTTTAAGAATGCCACAGTTTTTAACAGTGCCAAGCATTTTGGGCATGATAATAAAAATAATCAATTTTATTATATGATAGAAAACAGTTAAATAGACAATTTGAATCACATTTAAAGCAAATTTGCATCTTTGCTTCTCATTGAGCTTAACTTTAGTGAACAAGACCGGTGACCCCACTTTGTCCTATCAACATAACCAGGAACAGTTGTTTGTTTGCTCTAATCACACTCTAAAAGCACTACAAGGAGCCTGTTTCTAAAGCAAAAAACATTGATCAATCATTCTGTCAGTTTTTATCATTGTAGCGCCAAATCATAATAAAATTATCTTGCGACATCTTTGTTATGTGATTGAAAAAGTCCCATTTCTCCACCAAGCGAGCTTGTCACTATTAGGCAAAAGGGCAAGGAGAAACTTCCTGTTAACAGGCAGATACCTCAAGCAGAACCAGACTCATTGGTAGAGGGCCATCTGTCACCACCGCATGAGAAAGTTTGATAGAGGGAGATGTACGAGATGTAGAAAGGAAAAACGAGTACACGCTAAAGTATTGAACCATTACACTGAAGACAGACAAACACAACAACTAGCTTGTTCACTGGAGCAAACAGAAGCTATAGGGTGCGATCCATTTGATCTCGGAAGTCGGAAATTCTGAGTTGCAGGTCAGATACGTCATCAGGAATGCCCCCCTGAAGTTGAATTTCGACTAGGAAACTTGGACCTTCAGTAGCCCGAGTCAACATGGCTTCTACGTACATCAACAGTAACTTTTAAGCTGTAACTAAAGTGTGCATTAGCAACTCATACCTCTTTTTTGTGTAATTAAATCAATCACACATCATGTAAGTCCTATCCCTGGACAGCATTAGAGACAGATATATTATAATTTGTTTGGGAGTTGTTTGTCACCAAAATGTAGATGAAAAGATTGTTAACATTGGCCTCACACTTACCCAATTAGCAGAAACCTAGCTGTCAAGTCTTAGGGTTCTCTCTATAAAGTGTAGTTCATAAAAATCCTCAATGTGCTGCTATATATAGAAGTCCTACAAAAAGAAACCGTGAAAACTGGTTTAAACATGCTGAAAGCAGTCCAACTTAAGTGTAGCTTATGTATGTGATGCAGGAGAAAGTAGGGAGTTACACTTATAGATCTTTCTCTGCAGATTCAGGCCAATGTGTCTATGTCTAAAGTTCTCAAGGGAAAATATTTTCTTGGGAGCATATGAGAGATATATGTCACTTACTCAAATTGGTCCACTACATGTAGCCTATGAGTAGCGGCCTATGAGTTCTTGAGACCCTTTTCTAGTGTATCAAAATATCTTATTGGATTCAATACATTTTTGGAGTCATGATGGGTTTTTTTTTTGGTGGGGTGATTGACAAATCATTTACAAATATTTCAACAGACAACAGGGCTCATGATATCTATCCACCACTGTATTTTCTCCTCTCACTTCAGGTTTAAGGAGCTCCCTCCAGAGGATGCAACTTGAGTATGTGGATGTGGTTTTTGCAAACCGGCCAGACAGCAACACCCCCATGGAAGGTGAGTGATTGGCCAGCCATACCCCTGGGGAAACTGGTGGAGGGTCTGGGCAGGGACAATGCATGTTGTTCTGTAAAATGAGAAGGTGAGAAATACTTACAAGAGTGCTACCCACACCGGACTGGCGACCTTTGCCTTTGACTTAAGGGGATTGTCTCCCTCTGACACACACAGACACAAACATTTCAAGTTGACTGACAATCTTGCCTCATCTCTTGTCCTCTATTTTGGTCTACAACTCTCCCTCTGTTTTTCTCTTCGTCTCTTTGGGATCATTGTGTTTCCAAAGGGTCTCTGAGCTGCACCCGCTCCCGGCCCTCCATGTTCTTCAGAAGCAGGATTATCTGGCCCCCCCAGGGGGGAAGCTGGTGTATTTTTGGGCTTGTCTCACTAGATACAAGGCGTACTGTGCGCTCTATTCCTTTTACACAGAAGTGCTGCCTTTCCCACTCATCCACCTTATGTCACCATTCATTGCCTATAAATACCTCTAGTTTTGTCCTCAATTACCTCTTTCTTGTGATGTGGTCCTAACATACATCTTCATCTCCTACAATCATCATCCACAGGTAGTATTTGGCTAAAAGGAAGAAGTCTCTCATGGCTGACAAAAATATCTTCCAGTTGTTCCTCTTTGACCCCTATACTTCCTCTTCTGTAAGCCAGCCGACTGTGGAAGGCCAGTCTGTCATACTTATCATTCCTATAACATTACTGTCAGTGGCAGTACTGGTGACTGGCAGACTTGACGGCCTGTTCCAACAAATTCTTTACTTAGTTGTCTCTGCAGATAAAGTGACTTCCCCATTGATAATTCGTGTTAAGAAGAAGCCTCATCTGACTGAGAGACTGATTGATTCAAGTGGCATGATGATAAAAAATAACAGAGAAAGATGCCAGGTACAAAAACAGACTCGACAAATACAAAGACAGATAGGCGGAGTGTGTTTTGTTTTCAGTGGTTTATCAGCATAAAACATTGTTCATGTCTACTTCATCCTTCATTACAGTTAAGCAAGGCCGACTCAGTCATATTTCACTGAGTAGAGGTTCAATGACTCAAAACCACCAGGGAGAAGAAGGGGGTCTGAGTTTAGACTCACAGGAAGCAGTGCATCCTCATGCATTAGCACTAAGAATTTCTAAATTGCTTCTCTAGAGGTTGGAGTCGCAGTGAAAAGCTGTAATTAGTGAGATTTCCACACCTCTGTTTGTCTTTACAGTTCACAGAACGTGTGTAAAGATCTTAGATATTGATTCACACATATTGCTTATAGTTCAAACAGGATCATTTTTTAACAACATCAATCCAGACTGCAAAAACATTCATTTTAACTCAAAATTTTCTGTAGCCAGAAAGGAAGACTGATGGTGTCACTTTTTCATAGTCTAATCCCTCATTATGTCATAATCATCCATCTAAAGAAACTGTAATATACTATTTAGAGAAATAAGCCTTGTGGAGAGCTGGTTTGATTGAAAGACATTAATTCACGCTACCAAGTTTGGACTGAAGTGAGCCACTGAAAGTCTGTGAGCCTGACTTCAGGGCGAACAAACCCTTGCCGCACATACCTGTGGATCTTGCACAGCAGAAGTCAGAGGCGCTGCTTTTTTTAACAGGCGAGGCCGTCAACTTCTTGGGGCCCAAGCCAGTAGGGGGCCCTCAAAGGCTGACAAACTTTGAACCACTCAAAATGTGCAATGTTTGCAATAATGGTAGAAAACCTAGCTAAGGGGGCCTCATCTCACAGCACTCAATGTTGTTGCGCTTCTAAGCATGGCATGCATTATTGCTGTGAAAACCTACTTTGTCAATGAGAGTCACAAAGGAAAATGAAGATATTCATATTTACAGTATATTATAAAGATAATAATAATAATGTGGATTTTGGCAATGAAAATGTAAAAAATGTGGCATTTTTTTGTCATAGTCAAACTATTTATGACATAATACTGATGAAAGCTGGATGGAGGGGGCCCCCCTTGTGAATTTTTGCATAGGTCCAACAGGCTGCAGAATGGCATTGGGCAGAAGTGTTGCAAAAGTTGTGTAAACAGACAGCCAATGGAGGTAAGCCCCCTCAGTAGTAAGTGATGAGTTGTGTGTATTTTCAATCCTGGGAGCAAAAACTCTTTATCAATAACTATGTACGTATTGACAAGTTATTCTGCAGAACTGTGTACACGTTTGCAATTTTTTTTATGCATTGGCAGATCTGTATAGAGCATTTGATGATGCATTTGTCGATCTAATCACACATTTACAAACAGTTTTTCACCAATATCTCCATACATTTTCCTTTAAAGAAAAGGATTGTAAAGCTAACTAACAAGTGTGTATGTGTGTGTGCTTATGTGTGTGTGAATACCAACTCTACTGTGTATACTTTTGTGTGGGGTTTCTGTTTGTCCTTGTGACTTTAATGCCATTCGACTGTCTGTGAGACATCGTGTCCCCTTGGGGACACAAAAAAGTGATGTCATGGATGCAGAGTCTCCCTTTGTTACCATCACAACATTCCTTTTCCGTCCAGTCATTCTTCTCTTGTGTTTCTCTTTTTCTCCCCCCACAACACAGTCTTGACTTGCTTTGTCTTTTGGCTTATACCCAGAGGTATCCAACAGGAACAGTGCCAACATCCTTTACAAATATCGAACTTCTTGGTTTCTTTCCTGTTTTTTTTTGTTTTTTTTACTCCCTGTTGACTCTCTTCTACATATTTTTACTGATAGAGATGTCGCTTACAGTAATCAGACTGGATCTTTTTTCTTTAAGGGGGAATAACCCTAGCCAGAATTCCATCTCACATGTTGCCAGTGTATGCTCGTTCAGTATGTGTAAGGGTTTAAATTAGCGGAAATATGAAGAGAAGGTGCCTCAAGCTCCATGTGCTGTTGTCAACTCATCGTTTTAATAGGCATACCATGGCCTGCAGAGTCAATGGTTTACATCTTAGCACAATGTTGCCATCCACTCTCTCAATTTCATTTGTTTTATTTGATAGAGCAATATGCAGCAAATTGAATCCATTCAATCACAAAATATAAAAACCCCAGGACAAAGTGAATGGAGATAGAACACACATGCCGAGGAAAAGAGCCGATATGAGAACAATACATACACTTTATGATAATCCCTCCGGTCAAGAGATTTTCACCGGAGAGCAAATGAAATTGTAATGCCATATCATAGTGAACACAAAACCAGAGGCACGCAGTCAGGACATTCCTTCAAGTGGCAGGATATCACCACTCTCCCCAAAAATAGAGCAGCATGCAGGATAATCTCAACCACTTAGTGCCTCTTTTGCTATTCAAAACCTTCATTCCCAAAATCACAGAAAAGGCTTCATCCAAAAATGAAAACCTGTGTGATCACCACACTGTCTGTATGCATAAGAAAGATATGTGCCTTCCTGTAGATTTACTCTCACAAAGACACCTAATATACTGAAGTGTTAAGATTGGTCCAATCCTGATTCAGTGGCATGTTGTTGCTGCTTTGGGAGCGTTCAAGGACAGGCTGATAATGGTAAGCCAGCAGTCTGCAATTTTACAGCAGTCAGCTTATGCAAATAACATGAACAAGATCTAGCGCACATTTCATGAATCCATCTTCTAGCTAATCTGATACTTTCTATTGAATATATTATTCCATATTTATTGAATCTAAATACAAATTCAAGTTTTAAAGGGGCATGCTGATGTTTAAGGTTCAGTAACTTTTCTGAGTCTGACAAGAAAGCAAGAAGAATTTACATTTTACCTTTTTGGGCTGATTTTCGTTCTATCCAACGAGCTCAGTTGGAAATAAGACCACTGTGCCAGTTACTATGAAATGTTATTAGTGTGATTTAGAGATGCCAGTAGGCGTATTTTGCTGATATTAGATTAGTTTTCTACTCATCGGCTTATCAATCACAGATAGGCAAACCTTAAAGCTAACCCTGGTTTATCCTCAATTTTGCTCTAAATGACTATTAGTTAGAAAATGACATAATGTATGGAAGAAGACAACTGAGAACACATAACAATCCAGTGGCTATGTTCACTTCTTGGAAACATTCTCCGGGCCAATTTCCCCGTTTCCACCCTTTGTTGTGCCCTTAAAGTTACGCTAACTATAGCGTTAGCCTCACATGCTCACTGTACATAGATGAGAGTGGTTGAATATTTTCACCTCTCCATTGTCCACCAGTCTCATATATTGGTCGGCACAAAAATACGGTAAATGTTTGCCCTACATGCACACATCACCGTGTGCATGTGCCCACAACTACACCCACATCGTCCTCCTTGAAAAGCTGCAGTGGGTTTATGTGAGTGGGGTGTTGTTGGTGTGCGCTGCATACCTCACCTGAGCACCCAACCAGTATGGCTCAGTCTGTTGTGTTGTGTGCATTGATGATTCACTGTGGACTCATGGAGAGAAACTTTATGTTAAGACTGGCCTGTAGGTGAGCCTGGACGTTGCTATGAATCAAGGTGTCATAGTCCCCTCCTGGCTTTCAGTTGGATTATTCATATATTCACAAACTAATTTGAACTGTGTGTGCCTCCGAGGATCCTGCTTGGTTCACAGTTTTTCCTTCTGTCCAAAAACCTCTCTCCCTGCCTCCCTCTTTCCCTTTTGGAGCAGATGTACTGTTATTCCTCTACCCTCGCACCTGCCTCACCCACACGCACACTTGCTCTCTGTCTCTCGCTGAGCTACAATTTGGTCCACAGAGAAAACCCGATGAAGACAGAGTTGTTCTTTTTTAATCACAATCTGCTGTGCTCTCAGCTCTGCACCCTCATCCGCTACATATTTTTGCCTGAAGAATTTGTGGCTTTGCAACTTAGCAGATGTTTCATTAATGCTTTTTAAGTGCAGTTACAAACTGAAGAAATCGCATGAAACACTTTATCATGTTGTTGTTTTCCGCAGTAATTAGAGAGTTTGTGCACTGCAAACAACAGAAACCCATTCTAAGTTATAGCTATATTACCTCCACCTTTGCCATTCTAAAATGTCCTATGAGGAAGTACATCACTTTTTTTTTTTATTAACTCACATAAATAAAATAAATTACATTCGCTTATGTACCGTTCCACCCATTGATTCTTTCCTTGCTGCATCCATAGGTACAAATACCCAAACCACTAAAGGCCACTGTGCTGGCTGACTTCTACCCCCACAGTTATGTCTTGCTATGATTTGTTCTGCTGCACAAGCAAGCAACACTCTGCTAAGGTTGACTGATTCTTTTAATTTAACCCCTGAAGCGTTTGGCTGCATAAAGTCGTCTGATCCGAGCAAAGAAAATCTGCTTACACAAGAGTTTAAAAGACACAAGCCTTTTTTTTTTTTAAATACACAGGCTGCATCTATTTAAAGCACCGTCTTTGGGCCAGTTTTACAAAAGGTCTTACTCATGTAATACGATCTTACTCACATGTTTTAGTCCATAGTAAGACTTAAAAGAGGATTATTTTAAGAGTATTTTTTTAGTATATAATGTACATAATGAACAAGTTAAAATGTTTCATATCTGCCTAAATAAAGGCAAAGTTTTAAAAGTGTTTTTTTCCCTGCTTGTTATATAAAAGATGCAATTGTGGCGCCATCCGCTGTTTAATAATGTACTTATTTACTCGCTACAATTTTGTTTTACAGAGATAGTAAGAGCAATGACACATGTCATTAACCAGGGTATGTCCATGTACTGGGGGACATCCAGATGGTCCGCAATGGAGATAATGGTGAGTGATAAAAAAAAAAAACAAGTCTTTGTGTAACTTGTAACATTAGATTTAAAAAAATATACACCTATAGCGTTGGGTGAATTATTGATATTTTCCCTTTTTTATCCATCTGAGTTTTTGTTATGAAAAAAAAAATGCATTTGAAACTAAACATTATGTATTAATTACTACTGCAGAGTAAAAACAGCCATATCTCTTCAGAATTGATTTCAGAAATTAGAAAGAATCAGGGTAAAAGTTCCAGTTACTTTGACAGATGTTGTAATGATACTGATAACAGTGTGGGGTCATCTAATTATCTACATGTGCTCTCCTTTGCAAAACTCTAAGGGCTGTAAAAAAAAACATTTATCGTTAATACTATTGGTAAAGGGACATGCAATAAAATCTTAATGAGCGAATATGTTGAAACTTGCTTTGCCACAGCCAGAAAAGTTCAAATGTAGTCCTCAAATGTAGAGGTCAATGTTTGACAAAGTTTCCTAATGTCATGAAATATTTCCCCTGTTTTCTTCTTCATTTTATTTAGGAAGCATACTCTGTAGCCAGACAGTTTAATCTAATCCCACCAGTGTGTGAGCAGGCAGAGTATCATTTCTTCCAGAGGGACAAAGTGGAAACCCAGCTGCCAGAGCTCTATCATAAGATAGGTAAGTTTATGGTGAACTTATAGATTGAGGGTTGTGATAGATTTGTATCCGTTTGCTACAGTAAGTAGTCAATGTTCATTCTCAGGTGTGGGTGTGGTCTCTTGGTCCCCCTTGGCGTGTGGAATTATCACTGGAAAGTATGAAAACGGTGTCCCAGACTCCTCCAGAGCCTCAATGAAGGTACAGATTAAAAGTCTATGTTCCAAACCTTTACTGTTATCAAGAGAGTACATGCTAAACAATAAAACATAAGGTGCCTCATATTTTTTCTGCCTGATTTAGATTAATTATACCTATGCTCGTTATTGTTTCTTCTTCTTCTAGCCATACCAGTGGTTGAGAGAGAAAATAATGAGTGAAGATGGGAGAAAACAACAAGCCAAGCTAAAGGAACTGGCTCATATTGCAGAGAAGCTTGGATGTACTTTACCACAACTAGCCATAGGTATAAGGGACAACATGCAGAGTCTCAACTGTCCTTTCCTCTCAATGCAAAAAACATTACAAATTCTATATTTTGTGTTTCTTTAAACATTGTCAGAGACCTAGTAGTCATAAAAACAACTTTAAAATGTCCTCCTTTCACCAATTTTTAGCCTGGTGCCTGAGAAATGAGGGCGTGAGCTCAGTGCTGCTTGGATCCTCCAATCCAACACAGCTAACAGAGAACCTGGGAGCCATTCAGGTAGAAGAAGAGCACACTAAAATGAAAGATGTATATCTCAGTATTTGGTCTAATCAAACAGCATAATGAGTGTTCTCATTCTTTGTTTCGTGCAGGTAATTCCAAAGATGACAGCTGGCATCGCCACTGAAATGGATCATATACTAGGAAACCGTCCCCACAGTAAAAAGGACTATCATCATTAAAATGGACTGATGTTTTAGTGAACTATGCTCAAACAGCTTCTCAAAGCTCACTCCTCACAGCCATGGCACCATAAGTGCGTGCCCAACTCTGCTTGTGTGCGCGTATGACTGTATGTGTGACTGTGTAAAGTGCTCCGCTTGGCTCCTCGTCTGTATGAAGATCAACCAGTACTCATTATTGTAGAATGAGCTACTTGACAAAACATGCATGCTACAGCTATAGCACCCGGCCACTGGACTGAACAACAGTTAAAAGATCGAGATGATTTTAATGGAGCGAAATCTCTTTTGCTCTGACAAATAAAAAGAACCAAAAGGATAGAGTAAGGGGAAAAGTTTTACTGTAAGCTCAAACTGGTTGAAACCTGCATGAGCAAGAAGATCATGTTCTCTTAGATAAGGGTGTCCTTGTATCAAGAAAATAGAACTGAAGAGGCACTTATGTCCAGGTATTACATAGGCTCCATGCAGAAAATACACAGAAAAAAGTGATGTATCAAAATGTACCCAATGTCCCAGGAATCAATCTTATTAGTTGTTTGTGGTGTAGAAAAAAATCCATGACATGTGCAATTGGACATGGCCTTGGCAGATTGGGTGATTTGCTAACATTTCCCATTTCCCATTGCAGCTGGAGCTGAGCTGTCAATGTGACGAATCCTTTCAGTGTTGGATGAACTGAAATTCTGTTCACAATGCTGTTGCTAATACCAAGAGAGCTAAGTTAAACTAGAATTTGTTCAAAACATCTGTACTGACTGTTACATATTTTCCTTTCCCTCCTGTTGTATTTTTTTTTCTTTTTCACTTATGCAAAAGTACAGCACATGTACTTCCCAATTAGCCTATAAGCCTTTAACCATTTTTTTATTTAGACTATGCCAGCCTGTCTGTCCGTTTCAATAATGTCTGATTTATTTCATTTTGGTCTGTGTTGTGGCTAAAAGTTTTGTCTAGTTAAAGTTGTGGAGATTATCCTTCTGGGGGAGCTTGTGGATTTGCAAATGAAGCCATGTAGCTAATAAAGACTGAGACTCAGTATGAGATAAATCACTCCATATGGACCCCTGCGGTCAATGCACCTGGAACTCAGTTAGTTCTGTTCTAGATTACAGTCTTGCATTGTGAGACTGTCTTTCTTGCATTCTGTCTGTTAAAAATGTATTTTAGTGTTGTTCCTTAGATTTGTATATGCAAATAAAGAGCGTATAATTCTCATGTGATATGTTTTAAAGTTCCAGTTTTGTTTTCATTAAAATGATATTGTAATTTGTTTGCCCCTTACAAAATGAATAAAATAAACAGAGATGAGTTATTGGCAGCATGATTTCCATATTAAACAGCAGTAAAAACCGTAAACACTCTGCTAATTTGCTGTTTGGTTTATCTGTGGCTTGCGTTTTTTACAATAAAACAATGGATACATTATTGATATCATTTTTGTTTAGGAATAGTAGTAGCACTTGATACGGTTTAATTATAAATAAATTATTTTAGCATATTTTAAATCTAGCAGCGTTTGTAGTCTGGTTTCCATGGAAACAAAGGACACGTTTCCGGTGAACTATCCAATGAGCTGTTCGTGTTTGAAGACATTGTAGTCGATTGGCTACAGGAGGCTTCCTCGAAACTACTCGGTTTGGCTGGCGCTCGAAACCCGCCAGATACAAAAACTGAGGCTGTTGAAAGTGAAGTAATAGCCGTACAATTATATTACCCCCTCAACTAAACAGGTGTGCCAACGCTGTGCTCACATTACGGTAACGTAAAAGTGAAATGAAGCCGTTCTAAATGTATCGGCTACCATGTTATTTTAGATCCAAATAGGGCAGCGCAGCGTTTGTTTGTAGCAGCAGTAACGTTAGCAGATGGCTCGTTAGCCACATAGCGAAGGGGAGGTAACGTTACCTTGCCAACTATAGTCAACTAAAACTGACGTGCCCATTCACAGCTAAGAAAAACAATCCACAAGAAACCCTCTCTACGACTTGAGGTGAGTGTCTGTTTGCCTTACCTTTGAAATCAGACGCTTCAACCTTCAACACACGACCTTTTGTCGTACACAATTGTTATAATGCTGCAATCCATTGTCTTGTCAACCAACAGCAATGTCGCTGTCGACTGAGGCCAACTTTAGGGCGAGACACAGCAACAGAGGAAAAGGGGACACTATTTGTGTGGTGCCCGACCTCTTCTCTGATCTCCTGGAAGATGACTTTGACCTGAACAAGTCCTACCCATGTACTCAGAGACCGTTTAACAAGAAGACCCTCCTTGTGTTGAAACGTCGCTTGCGTCCAGGTTTATTGAGAGGTAAGTATTTAGGACTGTAATTATGTAAATAGCTTGAATGATGACTAACATAAACCCACAACAGTTTAATAATTCATCATCCTTTGGCATTGTGTCAAGCATAAATAACCACAATTTCCATTAGCGCCAGGACTGATTTCTTGGTTCAAAAGAGATTACTTTTTAAATATCACCTTGGAATAATAAAAAAATATATATATCATAATAATAAGGATGAGAGTGAGAGAAAGTGATTTTGTGATTGACATAACTGTAATAGGGTTTTTTTTTTGCTTTCAGGTGAATGTGTGGATGATTGCACATCTGTGGCAGAGAGAAACCGCCAAATCTTGAGCTTAGATCCTTGTTCCCGGGTTTCCGTTGCCCCCCTGCCACATCCGTCTACTGTGTCAGAGAAAGAGGAGAGCTTAATCAGTCAATTAACCTCCGGAGGGTTTAACCTGTCTGGGTCCCCGTCTGCACTCAACCCAAACAAAGCCATTCTCACCGTTGACCATAAGACCACACAGGTACTTTGTATGCACCGACAGTGAGTGCTGAGGCAGCTGAGCAGAATGTTGCCAACAGTACTATGACGAAAGTATGCCCTTAAAATGTGTTGTTGTTTTGCCATTTTTCAGATTTTGTCAGTAAATGAACAGGCCTGCAAACTGTTTGAGTGCACTACCAATGACCTCATTGGAAAAAAGCTGTCCTGTTTCTTGAAGAAAACCAATCAGGTCCTTGAAGATGCATTGGAAGAAGATTTTTTGCTAGTGGATGGAACTGTCGTAGCTGTGTCCGGAAAAGTGGTACAGTATTTGCTGACGTGAAAACTAAGCATTGAACTCCAAACTTTTCCTCAAAACGTAGTTGTATCAAACCACCATTCAGTCAGACATCTCCTATTTCTTTTAAACATGTGTCTATGTTTGATAGTGAGTTTTGTTTATTTAATCTGCTGCTTTCCCTGTAGGTGGATGCTGTGACGTCAGCTGGAGAGGTGCCAGTATCACTGTGTACTCTCAGACAGTCACAACATGAAGAGCAATCGATTGTCATGATGGAAATTGTGGAAAGAATATCAGCATTCCTGTCATTTTCACAAGAAGTTAGTACACTACTTTTAGTTCCTAGCCATATAAATATAAGTATTCTTTTCTTTCTCTAAGTATTGAGAAGTATTTCTTTCTCTTATTTTGTTTTCATCAGTTTTTTTGGTTTTCTCAAACATATTGTGATTCTTACCCCTTCTTTTTATTTATGCTTGGGGGCACATTTGTCATATTTTCTAACCCATCAAATGATCTTGTTTAACACATTTAATGTCATTTCTAGGGCAGCATCCTTACCTGTGACTTGGCATTTGCGCAACTCCATGGATATCAGCATCCCGACAAGTTAAAAGGGATGTTTGTTAAGGAGCTAATCCCTTCTTTACAAATCCCCCTCCACAGTAACGCATTTCCCAAGGTAGGCACACTTTATAACTTAAACTACCCCACTCAGCAATGAAAAGAATGCCTTTCATAAACATTGCTTTCAAGTTTCTCTTTACCATTGTGCTTCTTTGGCAGTTCAGGAACACAGAAATAAAATGCACCCCACAATGTACGAGCTCTGATGTTTTCTGTAAGTCTGTCAGCTTTGACTTTCCTTGTACTTCCTTGTTTCAGATGCTAAGAGTTCAGAAAGTGTTTGGTAAAAGCAGAGGGGGTGCATCTGTCCCGCTGTGCGTCAAACTTCAGGGGGCCGTGGTATGTAGGAAACCCCGACACCTAAATAATGGGACTGGTTGCACCTGTCCAACAGAGAGTCCTGAAAGCTCAAATGTGGAAGAAAAGCAGGATTGCTCACCCCTCACCTCCACTGTGTGCCAGTCAGGGGGCTTAAACCCTGAACACTGTGAGAAAGCTCATGAAAAAGAGCCATCTGCTGGTAAGGATGTTTTTTGTTTTGTTAATATGTGTCCTTAATGCGAGGTCAGAGAGGGATTAAAAACACCCTGTATATTTCCGCAGAAACTACTGCATAATCCACTATGTTTATTATTCTGCACCAACTACCTTCAAAAATACTGAAGTGTAAACTCTTCAGCCTTCGTCATAAAAACACATACAGAAACTGGGCAAGATAATGTACACCTGATGGAAAAGGAATACAAATTTAAAGTAACTCTGATTAGAAGGAGCAGGGAGTCAAGATAAATGTTAAAAACAGGAAAATAAAAGAGAGTATTGTCGCTGTCCTTTGAAAACCTTGTTGCCCAAAATGTGGTTATTCTTTTAATACACTTAATATATTCTGTGTTCCTAAATGATTTGAGAAGCTTTTAATAGACATTAAAAAAACATTGGGCTGTTTTATTAAATGTTTACACTTTAGGGATACATGATTATTACAGGCTAGCCATAGAGGAGTTAGACATTTTTAGTATTTAGTATTTATTTGCACAGTAAGGGGAAAAAAACATTAGAAATAACAAAATATACAATATTCATTGCAGAAGAGGCAGAAAACTCAAAGAGCTTATTTTAAGCCTCCACCTAAATAATGCTAAAATATCAACAAATTAAAAAACAACAACAAAACTTAATTAAGATGCAGAAAAACATATTGAAATTCAGACAGCCGAAACACTAATATCACATTTAGTGATCGTATGATGATAGCAATAAATAGATTTGTAACTTACTGTGCATCTTTACCTCCACTCTTATAGAAGTCAAAGTGCACAGCCTTGTACTCTCCCCCAGTCGTGCTCTGGAGTACTCTGGAACGATTTGGGTGTTTGCTCCTCTGAGTGGCCTCCTCCTGCTCCACCCTGATGGTTCGATCTGCAGCATCCACGACCACCTGGCTCTCAGTCTGTTTGGCTACAGCAAGGACGAGCTGCTGAGAAAGGTTAGCCATCATGACTCGACTTTACAAGACTGTCTCTGGACTGACCACCGTGCCAACTCTCACTTCTGCCAATGCTGTTTGTCATCAACAGAGCGTCGCTTTTCTGATGCCTGGTTTCTACAGATGGATGTCAGACTCCGACCAAAAGGGCATCTCCTTTTCTGATTCTCCAACAGAGGCTTGTAAAGAGGCAGCCTCATCTAAAGTTTCAGGGAAATCTGGTGAGAATTTGAAGTAATTTTGCAAATTTTAGAAAATGGCTGCTTTTGCAAAAACCCACATGCTGTGATTTGTGCTAAACTGGTTCAAACTGGTCAAAGGGGAGTTGTTGAGCGAGGCAAAGATGGCGTGAAGGGAGGTAAAAGACACAGGGCAACACCTGTGCTCTAAAAGTAACAGGAAGTCTCTGAATCATTAACTACATATTTTTACATTTAATCTGAATTACACACAAGGATATCATTATTGCTGCTCCCTACTTTAACATGCTTAAAATCACAGAAGAATGAGCTTCATGTAAGCACAGAACTTGGTTTGTTTTAAGCAATCTCTCAATACCAACATTAATACATTGCAAACACAGCAAATTACTTTCTGGCTGCTTTCAATGTTATTTCCAATTTACCAACATCACAAAAGTACACGATATAAAACTTAGCAATGCTAGAAGCAATGTCACTGGCGCCTCCATGGCAACATAATGCATCCCCTTTTCAGTGCCCTAAATATGTTAACTGTATTTCCTAAATGTGTGCATGATTATCCCCCAAATAAAAGCAATACAAGAATACCAGGGATGATAAAATATGTTAAATTATCCTCAAATCGTTCTTTGAAAACCCCTTGTCTTATCTTTTGTGAGTTGTGGTACAAAACACACACACAGGTTTATGTGATATTAAAAAGGATTGTATAGAGGGTGCCGATAGACTAGCGGTTATGTTGCGTGTCCCATGTACAGAGTGCTGTGGTCCTCGTCGCAGCGGATGTGGGTTCAGATCCGACCTCGGCCCTTTGCTGCATGTCA